TATTCTTTCTCTATTCTCCGTTTGTTTTTAATTGGTTTATAGGGTTGAACTGTGTTTAAAACCAAAATGGAAAAACATTATGGGCTGTGAATAACCAGATAAAAAAACTTGAGGCTGGTAACAGCACAGCAAGAAAGGGCAAACACGTGCCCCCGTCACCCAAAGTCATGTCCTGAGGAGTGCATATTAGGGTGTTAGTCTTGACTAAGTCACACAAAGCTTAAATCTAAATATTTGAAAAATTTTACAGTATAAAAGCCTTACCTGCTGTCTCACGCAGCATCTTTTCTCACAACTCTTTACATTTGTTTTGTTCTTGTATTTTGTACAGGATCTGGACTGCACACTTTTGTTCTCTATCTGGGACCTCATATTGCCTTATTCACCATAAAAGCAATGCAGTGTGGTCGAGTGGACATCAAAAGCGCTCCATATGATACAATTCAATTAAAAAGAGGCCCATCATGGCTTGGCAAGGATTGTGCAGAATTTATGCCCCCATCATTTTCATCCTCACTTGGTACACGGGTTCCGTTGAGTGCCATATTGCCCCAGGTCCAGTTAGAGGCAATCTTGTGGGGCCTTGGGACTGCACTTGGAGAACTTCCACCATACTTTATTTCAAGAGCAGGTATGAACTTTTGATGTTTATAGCTATCTCTTTGAGCAAACTTCTTTTGTAGCAACAGGATTTAGTGGAAAATTACATTGGAATGGGACGTTTATAGTTCTGTCTTCGAGCGAAATTCTCTTGTAGCAGTTGGGATTTAGGGGAAATTTACATTGGAATTGCAAAGAAAGATGGTTTTCTTAGTATGATATGAATTGTTGGGATCAGAAGGCGAGTTCGGTCCACATAGAACCCTTAAAATCAAAATCTGGTCTGCTTTGTCTATTTCATGGTTTACTTCGGAAGACCTTACATGTATCCTATGCTTTTTTACAGCAAATTTATCTGGTGGTAAATTGGATGTCATGGAAGAGTTGGATGTTTCATCAACAGAACACAACGGATTTATAGCCACTCAGCTAACCCAAATCAAGTGCTGGTTCCT